AGGATTGCCGGATTTTCCCTTGTTCACAGTTAAGAGATCACCTTTTTTTTATGAAGTACTTAACTAGGGCAAAATCCTTATAAATCAGGTAAATATAGTATTATAAATCACAAAACTGACAACCAGTGATTTTAAAAACTATAAAGTAGGAACAAAGAGCTAGGTTAACTTCAAAGCAAATTAGATTAATAAGGGAAAAAGGATTCATGAAAGCGTTACCATCTCTGAAGTGATGCACACTTTTAAACACAACATGGACTGGTACAACCCCTTTTGAGGAGCAGGGTTTTGTAATGATGCAACAGATAGGATATGTAACAAAATTATATGTAACATTTATTGTTAAAACTGTGTTACAAAAAAGTGTACGTAGATCTGTAATTTACAATATATGTTCAGAATATATTGCAAATTAAGAAAAGACAAATTCCTTGTGATATTTATAATATCTAAGCTAACAGCAATATTTTGTTGAATATCTTCACAAGCACGTTATGGATGAAGAATGTTTCTGCTATACTCCAATAGCAACAGTACAACAAGACCGGTCTTTTAAAAAGTTTATTCATGGTCATTATAAGGTCACTGATGTTCCATAATGTTAGGATTTGGTGCTTGGTCACAAGGGTCAAAGTGCACTTCTAGGCAAATCATAACTTCAGAGCACTACAAGTATTCATTTCACATGGTAATTATGATAAATAACCACCATCATCATCATCTATTACAGAGACTGGGCCTATTGGCCCATTCCGGGACAGTTGCTAAAGGCAACTTGTCCTTATTAGTCTTGTGAGGTGCATTTGGAGTGACAAGCCCAGTGCCTTTGCACAATTTATATTCAATCCTGATTTTGACTGCCAGAGTCATCTAGCAATGAATCAGGAGAGACTCGGGTGAGAAATGGCCGCTGAATTTTGCTCACGAAACATCTCGTGTCATGCTCGTAAGGGCCTTTCACATGCCATAAATCTACGACATGGGACCGCCAGCTTTACTTCCCCTCCGAAAGAAGTTGTGCTACGAGATAAATAACCAATGGCGGGAAAATTGGACATACGATTTAAAAACTCTCAAGAGTTAAAATACTGAAATTATATTACAAATTTTTATGTGACTAACAAACATTTTTAACATATTCATGAGAATAGATTTCAAAACCAAGTAACTGATAAATTTGCATAGTGCACTAAATTATAGATCATTGTCCTTCAATTAGGTTGCTGAAGCACTACTACAGGTCAGTTTGTAACCTAAAATATGGGACTTATTCTTATGTCTTCAAGGTATTACTGTCACATATCAAGCATAATTGGTTGGTTTCTACTATATCTCAAGTATTAAAATAAAACTCACTGCAGAAGTCTGAATTACAAGTTATAAATTATGCATTTTTTAATATTAAATACTGCATTCTGTGTTATATGAACAATAACAGCATATTTCTGACTTGAATGCTTCATCTATAATAAAAAAAGCAGAAATGCAATGATTAATGCATCCTCCTTAATTATAATCTCAGAATTTTGCCCAAAAGGAATGAAGGACAAAAACAGACTTTGTCTTCAAAGAATGTTACTTACCATGACAAAACAGTTGTAATGCAATGGTAGTGGCATTTGTACATGTTACTGTTGCAATTTTAAGGCTTACAGAGAAAACAACTTATAATAGTTGAACAAATTTTGTTTCACAAGAAAACAGAAAGCTATTACAATGACAAAGAAGTGAGAGGATGTGAAACACATTCTTCACAAACTTCCAATTTATATGTAAATACTACTGCAACTTTAAATGGGCACAGGTACTGGCTGCTATCATCCCATCACAAATTATATTTGGTTATTCCATTAGAATAATAGTTATAAAACACAAATAATATCTTTAACATATTATTTGCAACACTGAAAATATTAATATATAATACCACTTTTAAATTACTGTCACAATACTGTATGTACCAGGACATTATTGTGATGATGGTTTAATGATAAAATGAAAACTGGTGTAATAAAATTTCAGCATAACACAGTAAAATCCGGTCAATGGTAAAAAGAAGTTCTGTTTAATATATTTTAAAGTGTTATTTAGAATGTGTTTAACCCTTCCTGAGCAAACCCTGTACTGGTACCACTAAATGTCTTTCAAAATTAAAAACTTGTTTCTTCATGTTTTGAATGATAAAGTAAATATTCCAACATGAAGAAGCAAATTATGATGAATTTCAGAACATTATACACATAACTGTAAACTTGGTACAAATTTCTATCAGTATATCACACGTCCTTCAAGGTCACTGATAAATCCTGTAAACTGAAAACTTGGTTTAAATTTCTATCAGTATATCACACTTTGTCCTTCAAGGTCATTGATAAATCCAATGAACATGCCACCAAACACAAAGCAGCTCTGTGAGTATGTATCAATAAAAATGGGGAATGTTTTCTACTTACACCTGTGAGCTGCGTAGTTTCTGCTTCAATCCTTGAATCACTATTTGACCAGTAGCAGAAGAGAGTGAGTTATTTGTCTGACGACCAACAAATGTACTTGAACGATTGGACCGGTTGTCGGTGAGAGAGTCAGGAATGCTCCCTGTACTACCACATTCTGAATTTGTGCGGGAAAGTGAACGCCTCAAGGCCCTAGTTGCTCTGTCCTTAACCATCAATGCCCTATTTTCTCTCTTCTTTAGTATTTCCTGCTGTTGTAATCTGTGACAACAAATATGGTAGGAATCTGAATAACAAAAGGCCTCACAAACATATAAGCATATTACAATAGAAACCACAAACACAAACGTAACAAAAATGATATAATGTAAATTAAAATCAAAGTAATTTTTAAAATACTGGCAAACATAAGCCAGGAGTGTACAATTACACTGAGACAGAATGTGATACATGTCTGGGAAGTACCTCATTCAAACCTTGGCCAAGTTACTGGCAGTCACTACTTAGATTTTACATGGTTTTCCTTATTCTCCTTGAGTGAACTGCAGGCTAATGCCTGCAAACAGGCCATAACTCTCTCCTTCCAAATCCTTCTATACTCACCATTTATGTTCATCTTCACATTTCATCCAGGCCTATATAACCTCTGGAGTTTAAACAGCAGTATTAAATAACCAATACTCCACACATTATCACACCTTTGCACTGACTGCTGTCTACACTCACCCTTCATAAAAACACCCCCAGAATATGGATCTCAGAGTTTCTCTGAACACAGTATAGAAGAGAGAAAAATTATAATCTCCATGCCAGCGACCAGATTACAAGTACTCAGTTGACAGCAGATCCACTCACGGGGCTACCACAATTATTTCACTGAGACATAATCTCCACCTTCTTACAGCATGCACTCATCTCAGAGTTACTTTTACTTCCTGTAAACAGAGGTTTAAACAATGGACTGAAGCTGACTGTCCTACCTTTGTTTCTTCACACTCTCCTGTTGTAGTCTCTCATCCTCTTCTCTCTGAAGAATTTTCTCCTCTTCTTCTTTCTGTTGTTTGAGCTTTTCCAAGCGGCTTGACTGTCTACGAGGCTGATATTCCAGCAATCGCTTTCTGCACGTCATACACGAGTACAATATATAAAAAACTAATTTTAATACTACAGATAGAAGACCTTAATATTTATAGTATTACTTGAAATATCCCAGCTATTCAGTTCACAAAACTGTTATCCATTAGAACCTTATAATCTCTGAATATCAAACATTCTACCACACTCTGCACAGTTTTAAAATGTCTAAAATTATAGACAGTAATTTATATTATTTCTAACCTTTTACAATTAAGGTATTCTGTCTGAAAGTTTATTGAAATCAATATAACTGATGTGATAAAATCATACAAACTAATTTGAAAAAGTATGACTACAATTTGGTTAATCACTGAAAATGTGTGAGTGGACAAAATGCTCACACATTTCTAATACATTTGACCTGAAACCTGCAAAGTCACAGTTAAATAACATATGCAATGAATCAGCTTTGAAATAAAAAATTAAAAATAATTAAGGGAAGGAATCAACATACATGTGTATGATACCCATAAAAATATAAGCACATCTGTGCCTTATATCAGCTACACAACCTGCCCAATGTACACAGTCATAATTTTATCCCAGTTTTTAAATCAAGAAATACAGTTCCATAACATTGTATATTTCAGAGCTGAGTGAAAACTAACAAAATTCTACGGTATTTTTTAAATCTCCGACAAAATACAATGAATTTATATCTAGGTCCAGCTCTGTCAATGCAAATATTATTGTCAAGTTATGCAAAATAATATGAAAGGTGTTCTCCAACAGAGTACTCATATTAACCTTCATGTAAAGAAGGCATCAAAATCGAATTCATTCAACAATTTTTAATGTGGTCACCCCATTACAAAATTTCACTGACAACCATCTAACAGGTATTATTATTTTATTTAGTGTTCTGTCTGACGACAGGTCCATATGGGACCTGTTCATATACGTTCTTGGCAGATGATCCAGAAGTGGTTTGCCATTGCCTTCTTCTGTGTGTGAATGGAGTAATTGTTGGGATGCCACGGAGAAACCGGGGAAGCCCCCGGAGGAAAACTCCATGTTGCCTAGACCACGGCCTTGCCCAACACAAGTTATAAATTCGGGCACCGCCGGGAATCGAACCCGAGACCCCAGGATTACAAGGCCAGCGTTCTAACCGCTAGACCACTGTGGCGGTCATCTAACAGGTACAAAGATAAAATATGCAGATGGCCATAAAGACTGATAAGATGCACACAATATGTATTCATTTATGTACATCATGCAAAACAAGCAAAACAAAGGCACTGAAAAAGAATCAAGATACATAATCTGTGTTCCTGTCTGAAGTCTAATAATCTCATTGCTAACTTGGTAACTGCCCTAAAAATCTATTAAAATTATATAACAAAAATAATGGGCTTCATCAAATTTTTTATACGACTGAAAAACGCAGAATCCACAATGACTTACAATTGGTGACCAATGATGGAAAAATATGAACATGTAACACTCCCTCCTTACAAATTATTTCGAAGGAGCAAGAGTAATGGAATAATTACAACACAATCACAGAACAACAGATGTCCATAAACAATTCACCTTTGTAAGCGTTCTTTTTCAGCAAAAAGACGTGGGATCTCAGGAAGAAAGTCTTCTGCCAGAGTATGAAATAATGCTCGTTCATTTTTCGATGTAGAGTCCCTAAAACCCTCGGTGATCTTGTCCCAGTCCTGTTCAGAAAAGCACACCACTTGCCAGATACCTGACCCTTTGTCATCTGATTCAGAATCAAATGGTGGAGATTTGCCTCGTTTCTTACGGCGTTTTTCTTCCTTCCTTCTATGACGTTTCTCCTTTGCTTTCTTCTTCTGAAATTAAACACAATTTTTAAAAAGGGTGTTGCTTCATTAATATGGCATTATCTTAAAGACAACACACAGGTAATGAACACAAAACCTACAACATATTTTAAACAGCATCATATGATGAAGGCAGTAAGCACCTCTGAAACATCTTTTAATTTCCACAAGACTACACATCTCAGAGGACTGATCTTCATTGTCAACAGCACTTTAAAAGAAAGGTTGCCAGCAAAATGAGAATCTCTAAAATTTCATATGCATAAAAAACTTTAAATAAATCTGTGTATCAATTGAAATGTATTTACATAACCATCTAATGACACATGAGAATGCTCATAAATTGTAAGTCAAGAAATATGAACATGGGCATGGACTAATTCATGGTACCATAACTCAAATGTTAATTGACAGCTTTATATGGCTGTCAAGTCTTTATAAAACGAGTATTTCAAGGTTTTTAGAAAAGATAAGAAAAACGTCAATCAAATATAAAGTTTAAAAATATGAAAAATGGCCTGAGAAATCCTAAAATTTGTCCAATGTAAGCCAGAATCTTCAAAAATGTTGAACTAAAGACCATTCTATTGGTCAGATGTCAGATTTGAATCACAAAGACCTCTAACTGAGGTGAAACACACACAGAGATATATGTATATATACACACACACACACAAAGCAAAACTTACGACTTTTGGATAATCCTCTCTATACAGACGTGTGCCGTAGAAATACCAATAGGCTGAGTTGTTTTCATCATATCCTAGAGGCTCAACTCGCAAACTATCAGATTCCAAGTTCTGAAATAAAACTTGCAACTCATGAACTACCCAATTCCAAGTTCTAAAACAGCAAGTCACTAAGTTTCAATCCTGCATTTCAAATATAAATTTCATGACTTAGTACTCTTATGAGTAAACACATAAAAAGTAACACTTCATTATGTATGCATTGTGAGTTCATTTTGAAAGGTATAATTAACTGCAAGGTCTGTTATGCCTCCAAGTAATGTTTGTATTTAATTCAATGACATACTGTCTGATTTTATCTACTCGTAGTACCTATGTAGAAGAAATTAAAAAAGACTGTAGAAAAGAAAGAAACAAAAAATGGATGAAATATAAAATTATTTCAAATATTTAAAAGTAAATGCCCCAAAACTATACAGTAAGTAAATCACTGTGTCCTTCTTTCATCTGTCACAGTCATTAAGATGACATCTAAGCAGTCAGTACATCACTGGGTTGAAGTTTACAACAAATTTATAGTATTAAACCTGTAATATGAATCACTACCAATAACAATATAGAGACTGAGCTGGAACAAACACAAGGCAACAGAAAACAACATGGAAGAGGCAAAAGAGGTTTATGAAATTAATTTAAAATTAGAAATTCCATACAGTAAGTCCATGAATGTCATGTCAGTGTATAAGGGAGTCAGCTTTTAAATAACTGATATTTGTTTTTAATTTTAAGGGGGGTGGTGAACATTACTTTTTCACTACGCCTTGGGCACTGAAATATTACCTTCCTTCTGCGACAGACTGAAAAATTCAGTGTGATTAAATGCTGTGAAGAGAGTTTGTGGGAATAACCATGAGGGAGCAGGGCATTTCATACATTCCCAGCACAGTGTCACACTTGTCGACCAACTGAAATTAAAAGTCTTTTCCCCATTTCAATAGTAGTGACATTACAATGCTGCAATGTTTTCACTTCAGGCAGTAGGTAACAGAAATACCATATGGGTTGACTGCAATGTTTTCACTTCAGGCAGTAGGCAACGGAAATACCATATGGGTTGGAGAACTGTAATAAAGTTTAGCAAGAGGGTTATACATAACTTCATGGTATAACGGTTTTGTTGAAAAGTCGGTGGTTGCTCGACTACTCAAGAAATTTCCCACTTCTATGAAGCATGAAAGTTCATTACCATATGCACAAATGACTGTCACTGGTCCCTATCCTGAGCCAGCGGAATCCAGTCTGTAATTTCACACCTTGAAATGTTTTAAAATTGTGTTTCTATTTATAATTAGGTCCCTTCAGCAATCTTTTAACTTCAGGTTTTCTAACAAAAATTCTGCATACATTGCACATCTCTACCATGTGTGCTATGTCATATTCATATCATTTTCCTTGATGTAATTACCCTTACAGTATTAAGCAAAAAACATAAATTATAAATTCTTCATTAATTTTCTGCATCTTTCTGACACCTCTCCTCTGCACTTCCTACTTATCTTTACATTCTAATTTTTTATTGCACTCTATCAGCAAGATATAAACAATATATTTCATTTTCTCTACTTTCACTTCTGGACCAACTGCCTTACTACATACCTTGAGTAAATCCTGTACATCATCTGCATCAAGCCTGAAATCACACAATGCATGCAGAATCTCCACCTTTGTACGTAGGGGAAGGAACTGGAAGTCAATATCTGTGTTGAAAGGATTGTCTCGCCCATATTCCTGAAAGAATGAAATTTCCATGTTATTAATGCTTCAAGAGCATTACATTACAGAATTCCTAATTCCACATACTGAGACTCCTCTTCAGTTGATCTGAGATATCAAAATTCCATTTCCTATACAGTTCATGTTTTTCTGCATACTGGTCATGAGATCTATGTACCAGTGAAGCATTACAGTCACAAGAATTGCCTTAAGTAAATTAAAACTGATTAATCATCTGCAAAAATCTAGGATGCTTGGCATAAAATATTGAAGTCACAAATGACAGCTGTTATAAGTCAGTATAGGTGTGATGGACATGTGTAGGTAATCACGTATAATTATTCATTCATATTCTTAGTTTTGTGCCATCTGTTAAGTGTTTTCATCTACAAAAAATCTATTACTGTTATTCAATTGTCATACTCCCACAGCACAAATTAAGTTTGTGCTTGTGTTCCTTCTTCTATGACACCCATACCAACATCATGAAACTAGACACTTACGCAGCACTTGGTGTGAACTGCAGAAGTATGGAGGACAATGCATTTCAGGCTGCATAACCTGAAATTGTATCTCATAATCAGATTAAAATGGGGTAATAAAAAACTGTCAGCCAATTTATGAATTACAGTCACACAATTTTTAGAAATTAATTCTGTCATTTCCATTTGCTTGGCAATTTAAATTATTTTAAAGGGATATGCATAACCATGCTTAAATCAAGTTAGTTATGTCCAGTTTGTCATAACATGAAATGGTTTCCCAGTTTCAACACATGCAATGTAATTAAAATCATCCTTTTATGTTGTTTTACCATGAGAATATGAATGCATTATATATTGGAAATGGATTGGGATGGTTACTTCTCACTCAGTCATATAATTATTTTTACATAGGTCTCACCATGCAGGACTGAGAAAGGAAATCACTTCCTTTCCGATTAACAGACCTAACACTATGTCTCGAGTCCACATCAACAAGACGTAACACACATCAATTCGTATTCACCTGACATTTTTGCCTGAACAAGCGGCGCAGAAACATCTGGTAATTAAATGTTGAAATGTCATTATTTCCGAGGCACCCACACAACAGCCTCACAATCAACTCTTGAAGAAGGGAACTTCCAGAATCTTCTGCTCCATCAGTCAGAAGGGCCTCTTCCAGTTCCTACAACAGCACACTTGGGAATTGTACAAACTGATAATGTAGCTAGATGGTTTCTCTTAATAACTCAATAATACTGACATGATCACAATGGACATAAACAAGCCTGCACAAATCCTAAGCACAAGGATACCATGGTGCCTAAAATGTTCATGATAGCACCTACAATTTCTGCATTTCATTCTCATGGTTTTGTATCTTTGCATACAACTAAAAATACCAAAGCTTAACAAATTCCAACCACCCACAACTCAAAAACTTGCTTCAAAGAATCCTCTTTCAAGTAACACAATTTCAAATGGAGGATAAAAATGTACTTTCCATTGTAAACTTCCCCACAGTTTGAGTAGATTAGCATATTTCATAAGCCTTCATAAAAATAATCAAGCAACTGGACTAACAATAAATCTAAACAAATCACATATTAACCTCCACATATATAACTACAATAAATTTAATTTTCTTACCTCAATATCAAAGTCCAAGAGATTGAATGCTGCTCGAAACAATGAACAGAAATGAGCAATACTTGGTACCTCCCACCATGACTGTATATCTGAAACAAATTAAAAGTTCTTTTTGTTCACAAGTATCAATAAATCCATTACAAGTAAATCATACACCACATTCTGAAAAAAAAAATTAAAAAATTCAATTTTTCCAGGATGTATGACATATATTTTGAAATAAACTGATTGGCTATTAATATCCATAAAATATAAAATGGAACATTATGATGAAAAACGGGCTCATTTCTTACACCAACTGAGATGAATTTGTCTGCACATGGAAGTATGTTATAACTAAATGTTGAGAATTAAAAGTTTCTGTTATACTACACTCTAAATTAAATAATATCCATGCTAGGGCTACAACACATGTCCAAAGCATAAAACTGTAATTAATACTAAGCAAACGTATTATCAACTTCAGTAAGAACACAAACTGTACCAAATATATAACCAGTATCTCGCTCTATCAATGTTTCAATGACATTCTAACCTATACGTTAGGCCTAAGGATGCAAGACCCCAATTTCCCCACTTACGGCAACACTTCCACTGAATACTCCCTGCAATTTACGAATATACTTAGCAAGAGTGTCGCTGTCTAAACAAAATCTGATACTTACCATCCATCGATGTCCCGTTTATAGCGCTAAATTATAAATTATTTGTAGTGCAAACACAATATAATCCCTCCCGTGTTTAGCTGTTTTGAATCACCGGAAGTACTCAACGTCTGGGACCTACTGACATGAAGAACAAGTGAAAAACTACCTCCGATTGTTCCTTCTTTCTTTTGTTTGTTGGCGGGTGATGGAATAACAATATGAGGGAAATTCTTGGCAGAAGTAGAGACATTTTGCAAATTACAGCTTTCATGAAGATGCATTTTTCATTTTCCCATTGTTATCGTATAATATATTTCATTTTTGTTTAAAGTTGCTCCTCCTTCCGTGTGTAAAAAAAAATCGCTCAATGGGTTTCATTCGTCCTGAAAACGACAGTCATTTGCTGAACTGGCAGCAACTTCCCCAAATAATTCCCATCCTCTTAATCTATGATGCCAAATGCCGTGACTGATTTAGTACGTTTGTACCATTTGCTGACAATCAGGAATTACCAACATAAACGTATTTGCTTCTGGGATCACAAATAGTGCTACGCGAGCCATCTATTAACAAACAACGAATACAAAAATGTGACAATGAAACAGTTTATAAGATGTCTTGCTGACCGCGTGCTGGGCTGGCAATGTCTGGGCTTGCTTGGCCAGGAAGGTATGGATGCCTCTGTATTTCCATTACAATAGGCGGGGCTGGAGGCATCTATATACCCAATCTGATAGGCTGACAAGGAGGCCTCTATGAAGCCTTTTCTAGGCTGCAATGAAGGCCTCTCTGTATAGTAATTATACAAGCATCTGGGGAGGCTTGTACATAACCACTGCAATAGGCAGGCATGGAAGCATCTACTTAGCCATTATAACAGACTGAAATAGGGGCATAAGTATAACTATTATAAAAGGTAAACATGAAATGCTCTGTGAAGCCATAATCACAGGTAGGTATGGAAGAGACAAAGTCTCTTTGTACCCATGGAGGCTTCTATACAGCCATCACAACAGGCAAGAATTGTTGTAAATCAACAAAAAGAATGATAAGGGATGAAAATTGCTTTGATAGTCTCAAAAATATTTCTGAAACCCAAAATAATTGTTAAGATAATTCTCCAAATATCAAAGCATTGCCACTTAGTAATTTGTTAAGATAATTCTCCAAATATCAAAGTATTGCCACTTAGTAATTTAAAAAAAAAAATTATCATCATTATAATACAAGTATATAAATAAAAATGACTAAAAGTTACCAGAACAAAAGAAAGTCCATTCCTCATGTACCTGAAAATATGGGAACATCAAAATATTTGTAATAAAAAACACATTAATAACAAATATTGAATATCCAAAATACAGGTTGCAGCTTCATGATACTGAGGACATCATAATAACACTAAGTGAAACTTCAGGTTTTCACAGTGGTGAGTATAAGCATAACCATCTTCTAGGATGTTGCACCATGTACTGTTCAAACTCTTTAGCCCTGCCGGATAAGGTATCGGGAAGAGGACCTGAAATAAGGAAAAGTGGCAGAGCCAATCAGGAAGCCACTTCTTAGATGGTGCACACAACTATTATTTGTATTATTTGTGCTAAAAATATTTAAGACTATAGCCACCTCCATGATGAGAAGCCAGCAACTAATAGCCTGTGCTCTACAATGTGGACAGGATCTGCCCTTAGTGAATCATATTACCTTTTCGTAATATGAAAAATACTAAAGAAAATCATCATATAGACTTCATAAGCCAAGCACGGCAAAAGAGAATTTGATCGATATTTCATTCTGAAGAGGAGAAATATTTCCTTCTCTTTGCCACCACCCACATCACATGTTCCCACATTCCTTCTAGGGCTAAAGACCTGGGAACTGGACAGTTGTCCTACGGGAACTAACCACCATTTAAGAGGTGACTGCTACCTCCATCACCAATATGACAATCCTAGATGATGCAACATCTGAGAAAATGGTCATCACCATAAACTGAACAAACTATGGAAGAAGCATTATGGTATTCCATGACTGTACACTTTAAAATATTATGTATATACATAAAATACAATGATAATAGAATTACAAAGTCACGCATGTGCTCATGTATGCATTCACAAAGAAGTGTGTGCACAAATGCACATGCACAAATCAGAGTGAAGCACAACTTTGCGTTTTAATGAAGGCAGAAGAACAATACCCAGAAGGGAGCAAAGGTTGATATCAACTTAAATCATATTACGTCTGACTCCTTTTGTACTGGTTATAACAACACACAGCCTTCAACTGGTAAACAGTGCATTTAAAATATGTCTGAAGTTATACCTTCAATTTAGGTATACGCTCAATAGAGAAGTGAGTGCTTCTTTGGTCACTTCCAGATGAGAACAACATTTGGTTCCCTCTCCACTTGATCTTCAAACTGCTGGTTGCTTAATCCATGTGCACAGCAAATTTCATCAACAGACTGCAAACCCGTAAAACTGCGATGCAGAGAATCTTTTGCATTCACTTCATTATCTTCAGATAAATCCACAGGGTACTGCAATAAATAAAAACAAAATTATGAGGATTTAAACATAAAACTTTAAAGCTAAATTACTCAAATTCTTTAAAGTCATCTATAATTATGGTTTCCTACCAAATGATTACCATACGTTCAGTTCTAAGGTGCAAAGTGTTGCAAACATGCAGAGTATTCAGAGGGTTCTGGAACTGATTCTGACTACTGTCACAAAATGTTGAAAATACAATTTAAAAAATGGTCATTCTCCTGACAACCAGCCACCTATACACAGGAGTAGAGCCTACATCCAGAATGTCATGTATGAGATAATGAAATATATCTCAGAAATGGGTAATGTCTAACATAACTAGTGTAATGAATCAACAAATCACACACACGTTTAAGAATAACAACACAGAATGCACCGTCTATCGAATAAGTGTGACATTCAATTATTAAAACATAACATGTCTTTCAAATAATTTACCTTGTATATTCTGCGTATCAGGCCTTTAAGTAAACCAAACTGCACTAGCTTCCGTTCATTGATCCTAAGAGGATGAGGGTTAAGACGGACACACAGGTCCCTGACTGTAGTTCCGTAAGTCATACTCGAGTACATTCGGAATATATCTCGTAATGCTGGTGGCTGTCGGACTGCAAAGAAGTGAAAGCTCCATGTGCACAGCAAATTTCATCAACAGACTGCAAACCCGTAAAACTGCGATGCAGAGAATCTTTTGCATTCACTTCATTATCTTCAGATAAATCCACAGGGTACTGCAATAAATAAAAACAAAATTATGAGGATTTAAACATAAAACTTTAAAGCTAAATTACTCAAATTCTTTAAAGTCATCTATAATTATGGTTTCCTACCAAATGATTACCATACGTTCAGTTCTAAGGTGCAAAGTGTTGCAAACATGCAGAGTATTCAGAGGGTTCTGGAACTGATTCTGACTACTGTCACAAAATGTTGAAAATACAATTTAAAAAATGGTCATTCTCCTGACAACCAGCCACCTATACACAGCAGTAGGGCCTACATCCAGAATGTCATGTATGAGATAATGAAACATATCTCAGAAATGGGTAATGTCTAACATAACTAGTGTAATGAATCAACAAATCACACACACGTTTAAGAATAACAACACAGAATGCACCGTCTATCGAATAAGTGTGACATTCAATTATTAAAACATAACATGTCTTTCACATAATTTACCTTGTATATTCTGCGTATCAGGCCTTTAAGTAAACCAAACTGCACTAGCTTCCGTTCATTGATCCTAAGAGGATGAGGGTTAAGACGGACACACAGGTCCCTGACTGTAGTTCCGTAAGTCATACTCGAGTACATTCGGAATATATCTCGTAATGCTGGTGGCTGTCGGACTGCAAAGAAGTGAAAGCTTGGCATACTACTGTTGTCAAAAAAAAATCATAAAAACTTAAAAACAGTTAAATGGTCTCAGATCACCATCTTAAAAGAATATTATCCTTGCTACCATCCTCAGACACTGAATATCAAAACATAAAATACAAAAGTAACTGCGTTCATGACTGGATGGCATCATAACCCAGAAAAACACAATCTAAATGTTCACTGTTGTGAAAACCTCAAATCTCACATACTGAAAGGTGTCAGGGCAAATCCAATTTCAATCATAAATTTTCCAAAAACTTCTTGTGTCTTTACACTTTCAGTGTTATTTTATAGAGCTGGTAATAGTATTAAATTAAGGAGCACAAATTCACTTACCGTGGGCACTAATACCACTGCTGGGTCCATTGTGAACCCCGATTTTACACACCTTCAAAAATCCCTGACCACAATGTTAGTACCAGAACGAACTGGAAGCTCTCCAAGCATCTACCTGCTCTAGCTATGCCCAGCTAAACATCTTTAATCTACATCCAGGTAATGCCAAGCACTGGCAGAGTATATAGTGGAAGGATTCCTCTTACTATTCACATTTTCTGCATTTGGCACTTTCTGAGAGGTCAATAACATACATATAGGTGCCACCTCAATGTACGACGACTAGTTAAAAGCCCTGTTACCAGCCTGCGCTGTTTCCCATCCAAGGCCAATATGTACCAAGTCAGTTTATTCAAACGCTTTCCAACAAACAGCTTCCAATTGCCTCGTACCTAGTGTGGTAGTGCAAAGTTATAAGTGCTTCATACAACAGTTCTCCACACACATTTTTGATAGCAGAAATATACCTGACTTGGAGACATATTTTATACATCTCTGTTGTAAATCCTTATTCTCTGCCAACAACCTCAACTTTGGTGTTGCTGCATAAACATTAGAGTACTGGAAGATAGGAAGCAAAGAAACAACTCCGTAATACCTGAAAGAAAAGTATGGCATCAAGAAATTTGTTTCAAAGTTTATTCACCAGAGCTTTCTCATTTGCAAACGTTGCATAGCGCTGAATGGTAGGATAACTGAATGATGTAGTGAGGAGGACATGGAAGGAAGCAGATGTGACCTATTTCATGCAAGCACCTAGTATTTATGTAAGATTTGAGCTTTTCACAGCGGTGAGTATGAAGATTTCTGTCTTCTGGGTTGTTGTGCTGTGTAGTTAACATCAACCAGACTACACAGCGCAACAACCCAGAAGACAGAAATCTTCACCTAGTATTAACTTCCCAGGGCTGAGATAACCTATAGAAACCCTTGCCACAATGAAAACCTGAAATCCTACATAAATCCTGTCAGGATTGCCAGCCTCTAGGCAGAGAATCAAGCCCAGCGCAACCTAATTACAAAGAAAATGTGATATGGTCTGTCTGATATTCAGAACAGACTAATGCACTAATGGCAACGGTCATCGAACTACAGTGGCACAGCATACCTGCTGCTCAGATACAGGAATTACCGCAAATTAAGTGCAAAGACAGTATGCAGCCATGCTGTAAAACTGGCCTCACTATCTCATCAGCCTGAGAGATCAACATTACCATTCTCTTTCAATGCTCTTAATTTTACCATGTTAACACAGACAATCTCCCCACTTAATGGTACCTGCACCTTGTCATGGTGGTGGGGCTTGAGTACCTCAGAGACCCCAAGAGCTATGCTGGCGGTAGCATAGCTACTGGTAGGGCCTCCCTAGCCAGATTGGTCGAGGGGGAGAGGTCAAATTAAGACAGGTACCCTGGTCCTCCAGGTTGGGGGTTGGTCGCAAGGCTAACAACCTCGCACCATAAAAAGGAAGATGTTTCGAAACCTCAATCAAAGCCTCGGACAGACGGACCTGACAGAGGACCGAATGGAAGAGGAGAATTGAGGAGGCCATGAATCAAATATGGACCGGAGAGCCATAGAAGAAGATGATATGATGTTTCTGGGCTTATTTCTGTAAAAGTTAAAAGCATTTCTTATTACATTGCAATATCAGATTAGGATTGTATCAGATGTCAAATGTTGCTATCTGTTGTGACGAAGCAAAAATATGGACATGGAACAAGACAGATGTAAGTATATTACAAGCAGCAGTTATTATGGCATATTAAGAAATAAATTGAAAGAGGCGACATCTGAAGGCAGATACACTACAAGGACAGATGGCTTAATCAAAGGAAATATGGTATGGACAAATGTTATGCACAGTTAACAGCAGGATTCCCCTGATAACACAAAAATGAAGATGCCACTGCCATTCCAAAGTCAACGGGCTAATGGAGAGACAAAACAGAGCAGGAAAAGACTGGACACAATACAAAGTGAGCCCTAGTACGAAGATGGAAGAACAAAGCATGCTTGGTAATGGGATGACCCCTGGTAGGAACATCAATGGTTGACGCTGAAGACAATTAACATGAAGGGGAAATCATAAATGGTCAGAAAAGGTCGCTGAGTGTTGCCCATTCACAAATGGCGCTTTAATCAAGTTTAAGTGGAGCAGCTGTTTCCAAAAGGGTGACAGCAGATCCTTTACTTACATGAGGTTCTGAACGCAGGCTTTCACAAGATTGTTTTCCACATCTGCCTCTGCAGCAATCTTTGCAATATGATTGAAACCATCAATGTAGGGAAGAACCTAAAATCAGAACAGACTAATATGATGTCAGTATATGACTTGTTACAACTAATGACTTGACCAATTAATTTCAGCAATTAATAGTTAATATGCATCATCTAAATTACCCCTTTTTAAAGTTCATAACATATAATTTGGTATAATATACTGTTGATATTTATTACTATTACATTATAAGCAGTGTCTAATAATAACTTTTGTTTTTATCTAAAAATTTCCAACTCTAAATATGAATTCTTACATTGTCTGAGATAATACTTTGCTGCTGGCATGTTGTCTGTCACACTATGCCATGGGATCACCTTGCTACAGGTCATTAGAAAATATTTCTGCAGTGAGAAGCATAATTTTAAGTCTGGTTTAAAACTGTCAGAAGAAATTACCAGCCTCTTACCTTTTTCAGTTCAGTCCAATATACGAGGGGCAGTCAAAAAGTTCCCGGAATTGTGGTATAGCACTGTAATGGTAGGACATATGGCAACGCTTACCTAATCACCTTCAAAATAGGACCCTTGCGCACACACACACTTGCTCCATCGATTTGATGTCCTCAATGTCCTTGAGGCCCATTTTCAGAATAGGGAACAGCCAGAAGTCACTCGGAGCGAGATCTGGAGAGTATGGTGGTTGGGTGATGTCAGGAATGCTTTTCTCGGCGAGGAATTGCTGCACAA